CTTTTCCCTCTGTTGATTCGGGGGGAGGGGGGGGGGGAGGAGAATGGTGCACATCAAAGAGAAACTGTATATCAGCACGTGCTATTGGGATGGGATACAAGCCTCGTGGGCATTGATCGAGGTTCAATGACGTGTCCTGACTCACTTGCAGACCCATCGCGGCCAGCACTTGCGCCCCCAATCCAAAGATCCCAATGGCTAGAAGCATGGCACACCATGCAAGTCCAGGTGGAAGCACAAATTCCACGCCGGAACAAAACATCCACAAGCCCGACACGACGGTTGCTGCACCGCTGAAAGCGGCCACGCTGTGCGTTGCTGTTGCTCGATGACCGACTAGGTCAGTTTCAAGAAGTTGGCTTGGCCTGTCAGCACAGAGGACTTTGAAGAGGAAAAGACAATAGAATGATGAAGGATGCGTCGATGGATCTGCGCCCAACTCACTCGCTCGTATTGTGCAGTATGCACCTGAACTTCCGAGCACGCCTGCTAGAGCCACGCTGGTGCGTGCGAGACAGCCAGGATGTGCACTCCGCATAAGTGCGTTGTTACTGCTTGGAGAGGCACGGAAAGGCAAAGACTCACAAGACTGCCAGCAGCCTTTGCTCCTCTGAAATCTCGTCGCGAGGGGTGAGAGAGGAGGCAGCATGGCTTGATCTTTCATCTCTACCCTGCAAAAATCCCACCAGAGCGCCCAGTGCTGCTCTTCTAGCTTGATCGCTGGTACTTCTCAGCACTGCAATAGTAGCCGAAGCGATACTTGCAGTCGATGTCGATGTGGAGCTTGCGAGGACAGATTGCGCCGAAGAGCTGCTGCTGGTGCTAGCATGCAGGATTTGAAGCGCTCGAAGCGCTTCGTCACCCACTGGCATTTCGAGCTCATCGTCTGCCAATTTGCCGAACAAGAAGGAAGGTCTGGCGATGAGCACCACACCAGCAAGCGATGCCATGCCTGCCAGCGTTTGGCGCGTGGAAAATGACTCTGTCGTTGACAGTGACCAAGGCTGGTGTGAGGCAGAGATCGAGCCGAGTATCGTACCGACACGTTGAAGTAGAGTATGCGAACTCACCTCCCAGCACCGCCCAAGCTAACCAGCTGGTAGCGAATGGACTGAGAAAAGTGATGACGGTAGCATCGCTCAAGCTGAGATATTGCAAGGAGTAGTAGAAAGATCCCAAGCCTACAAATCCCACCGCGCCTCGAAGTAGCAATAACCACCTGACTTCTGGCGGACCCAAGAAGGGATGAGGAGTGGAGCTGAGCACCATGTAGCTAACGCAGCCTATGTAGGTGATGCTGCGCAACGTTAACATGCGAGAAGTACAGTTGGAATCAGCGGGGACAGAGCGCGCTTTTGGCGTTGGGCCAATCGCATGCGTGATGCACGCAGCCACTCACCCCATGCGAATGAAGATGACCTCGACTGGTGGCAGCAGGAGAGGAATCTGTGGCTCAGCACAAGAGCACAAGGATCGATGTTGGGCCATGACGTGCGCACTCACGCGCGGAGATGGGGTTCTCTCTACCCTCTGGTAGATCGTGCAACAGCTTGAAGAACAAAGCCATGGTCCTGACGCACAAAGAGTGAATGGGGCCCACATCTATCAGATTCGCATTCTGCTCCTGCTGAACCCCGCAGCGTGGCCCCCAAACTTGACTTGACTCACGAATACAACAATTGAGCTGTGCCAATGAGTAGCAATCCTTCCTTACCAGCTATAGAGCTTCGCAATCCACTCAAAGCTCTTCTAGAAGCGTAGCCATTCGGTCGCAAAGGTTTGGAAGGATCCTTTTGTCTGGGAAAGGGGACCAGATGAGCTTCTTCCGATTCCAATGCCAATTCCGAATCCGAATCCGAATCCGAATCTCCCTGCTCCACCTCATCGTTCCCTCTTTGGCTCTCGATTGAGCCGCGCACAGTTTCTCTCCTCATGGGTCTTGCTGAAGCCTGGACGCTTGGCGTATCTGCATCGTCCAACTGGGAGCTTCGAGCTGATGCGATATTTCTATCGCCACCACTGCCCTTTGCCATTTTGTCAGTTTGCGTCGATATGCTTTCTAGTGTATGCTGCGTGGGGATGGTGTACCCTCCTTGTCAAACCTGCTTCTTGCTCTTTCTCTTTCTCTTTCTCTCGCTCTCGCTCTACCGTGCTTGAGTTGGATATGCTGTCGTAGTAGTAGTGAGTGAAAGCGTCGTCACGCTCCTGCTGAGTCAGGCAACGACATGCACTCAAGACTAGCAGCTATACGTACAGATACATATACAACCACTTACTCTTCTGACTGTTGTATATCTGGCAGGGTCCTCCTCTTTGCTCGGCTGTGACTCGATCCTTCCCGTGCACAAGCGCATGCCTCTATATACAACAGTAGTACATGTAAGCGCCGATGTTCAAATACTCCGAATTAACGTACGCGGGGGCAATGAATTGATCTCAAATCAAAATCTTTTTGTTTTTGGATTGAGGCATTATTGAGCCGCGGAAGGTCCAAGAGTCACGAGTGGATCACGTGGTGCAGATGGAATCATGCGGTTGCGCATCCGTCTGAGAGCGGAGGGCTGCTGGGGCAGCGCTCAACGCCCGTGGGGCCAAAACTCGCAGCATGCTGGCAATCACTTGTCAACCAACATATCTTCATCTCCCAACTCAAGTGGCGAGCGGGACCAGCTTTGGTAGCAAGTCTGGGTGCAGATCCTAAGCAAATGCGCTGAAGATGTCGCTTGCAGTGAGTAGGGTGGAAGCTTGAGATGATGATGGAGTCCGCGCTGATGTACCTACTCTTCATCATCTCAGTCCACCATAACCACGTTCCTGATCGACGTCTCCCCTTCTATGGGTGCACTTCGAATAGTCGCAGAGGATGTCGAAGACGCCAATGATCAGGAGGAGGCGACTCGATTGGACGAAGGAGATAGGGTCAGAGCGGAAGATGGAATGGATGGAGAGCTGAACGATGCGGATGGTTCCAAGAGGACTTTGGGTGAATGGAAAGTCAGAGAGAGAGAGACGAGCAATTTGCAGTGGGCTTGCGAGTTTGTGGGAAGACGCGTACAGACTTATGTGAGTTCTGGACTAAATTTGCGCCATGGTGCCGCAGGAGAGCATGCTCAAGCGCAATGATCTGGTTGTTAGGTACATGCGGGGCTCAAGACAGGCAAGGTTTGCCTCATTACGTATGGCTCAGCGAGTGAGTAGATGCCACATTCGGAGTTCGTAAAGCTGACACTTCAAAGCCGATGCTTGCCACTTCTCTGGTGCATAGCCACGAATAACGCGGTAGCAGGTGATGGTACAACGAAACAAGAGTACCTGGGCATCAATGAGATGTTCTCGCCTGCACAGCCCGATCTCAATACTTGCGAGCTGGTGCGAGCGCTCAGAGCATCCAAAGACTCCGAAGAACCGCACAGGGCAGATCGTGAGTCGCTTCGCAGTACTGCGTGGTGAACTGTAGCTTACAGAGCTGATGTATTGGTGCCCTGCTGGCGCATCACACAGCTCTGGATGCGCTCATCGCGGCGATCTGCACGCTCACCGATAAAGATAGAGGCGGCATCAACAGCTCCTCCAAGAATACCTGGACTCGCACAATATACCTCATCACCGATGCGATGACCAAATTCAATCAAGACGATTCTGCTCTGATACAGCAGCGCCTAGAAGAGGAGAACATTCAGCTTAAAGTCATGTGAGAGAGAGGCGCTTTGCCTTGCTGCAAGCTGCACGCACTTGGCTGATGCTCATCTACGCCCACCAGTGGTATCGATTTTGATGACGAGGAGTTTGGATATGTGGAAGAAGACAAGCCTTTGACCAAAGTGAGTGGGCTGTATGCGCTCTGGTGTCGCGCGTACCATTGACAATTTGATACCACGTCCCGCTCAGGCCAAGAACGAGCAATTCTGGCACGACTTTTTGTCCCGCGTTCCAGGATCGGGCATCGCTACAGCAGCAGATGTGATCGAGCAGACACACATGCCCCAATTGGCGCCGAAAAAGTCGGCCGCTCAGAATGCCACGCTAACATTTGGAGACCCAGAGGAGCAGCATCTTTCCCACGAAGTGCTGGGTATAGCGGTAGTGCTTTACAAAGCGACGACGTTGGTTCGACCTATGAGCGCAAAGAAGCTGAGCAAGATTGCACAGCAGAGTGCGGCTGGGAAAGCCGAAATGGAACGCGCTGCTCAGATGAAGATTGAGCCTTCTAGCGCTCCCAAGTTGCAGCCCAATCAGGAGCTAGAGGGTTCAAATCCCGCTTTCATTGACGGCGAAGCTCATGCCATGTCCTATGGAGTGGACATGGTTCGCAAGTACTTCATCTTGGACGAGATTAGGCAACTGCCCAAGGAGGAGATGGATTCTGCTCAACCTTTGCCTGAGGGATCCGAAGAGAATTTTATCAAGGCTTGGAAATTGGGCAAAAGCCATATTCCTGTCGAACAAGTGCAAGACGTGGTGTTCGCTACGCAGGCTGGACTCGAGATCATTCAGTTTCACAACAGAGAGCAGGTGAGGCTGACCTCAGACGGTCGCATCTCGGAGCGTTTATGCAGCTTCCCCTAAATGTGAAGCAATCTTCGTCACGCACAGCTACGAAGATGGTTCGTCATGGGAGAGACGAGCTACGTGCTGGCTTCACCTGGCAACGGCGAAGCTCAGCTGAAAGTTTCGGCCCTCGTCAAAGCTATGATTGAGCTGGGAAAAATTGCTCTGGTCAGGAACGTCAAGAAACGTGACGCTGACCCAAAGGTGAGTTTCAAAGACCATGAGGAACGCGCTTGATGCTCCCGAGGCTCTTTTTCATCTTTGCTCTTTCTTCAACTGCATGCTCTCGTCAGCTCGCGGCGCTGATACCGATTCCCAAAGATCCAGAAAGTGGCTCTGAGGCTGATCACTTTGTGTACGCCGAGGTGAGCCGGTATAGCTACGCGGCGGCCTGAAATTGCAGCTCACACAACCGTGCATTTGCTCGCAAGATGCCATTCGCGAACGACTTCAAGCGGCTAGTCTTCCCGCCTTTGGAATATGTTGTGGATCGCAATGGCGTCGAGCATCGAGAGCATCATCTGCTGCCGACGCGAGAGATGCAGAGCGCAATGGACGATCTGGTCGACTCTATGGATCTGATGGAAGCTTACGAAGAGCCAGATGGGTGAGTCTTCGCCGGGCGATCGTGAAACGCTCGGAGGCGCAGTGCCAAGTGACGACCTCTGGCTTGGCACATGTACAGATCACGCTCCGAGTGGTTCTCGACTGAAGATAGCTTCAATCCGGCTATACACCGTATCAAAGAGGCCGTCGAATGGCGCGTCTTTCATCCCGAGGACAAGGAGCTCCCAAAAGCCCACTTTGAGCTCGATAAGTTCCTCAAGAGACCAGAAACGGTGTGGAACAAGTCTTCGACTTTAGCAGCGCAATTGAAGGATCTGTTCGAGCTGGTAAGTTGAGACGCGTGCCTTTTTCGCTTTGCATGCTGCAGCTCTAGCCTCACTCTCGTGCCTCTTTGGCTTCGTCGGGATACAGGACTACTGTGGGTGGCCTGGCCAGCGGAGCTTCGAATGCGTAGCTGATATGCGACTCTTGCCATCCATGTTGCAGCTCCCGACGCGAACATTCAGCGACAAGAAATGTTCAGAGAGCAAAAGCGCAAGCGGGAAGAGGAGGCGGCGGCCAATGCCAAGAAACAAGCCAGCAATGGAGCCGAGGGCAAAGTTGAGAAGAAGAAGGGCGATGGGGATGATGAGGAGGGCGACAAGACTCTGATCTTGGATGAGAATGATGATAGCGCCACGGACGAGGAGGAAGCTCAAAGCGCGCGCCCTTCGAAAGCGACCCGAGCTGGGTCTGCGGATCGCCCGACCAAGACTGGTGCTGGGCCACACAGAGCGCAAGGAGATGTCAGCATCGGCACGAACGATCCGGTGGCTGATTTCAGACGAGCGTTGCAAGATGCTAGGGATCCGGCCGTGGTGATTCGGGCTATGTGTCAGGTCAGTTGTATCACCCAAGCAGCAGCTAGTGTGGATCGGCGTACGTCTTGCAACGAGCCTCTCACACCAAACTGCCCTCTTTTCCGCTCATCGACTTTCATGACTCTCTCCTCGCGCCAACTTGATCCCTGCAGCGCATACGCCAACTGGTCTCGGAGAGCATGGCGAGCAACTCGTACGGCAAAGCGCGAGATTCGATGAAGGTCTGTCGAGCTGAAGCGGCAGTGGAGGACGAAGCGGAAGAGTGGAACGAGTTTGTGCGAAAGTTCAAGAACGATCTGCAGCAGCCTACGTTTGGAAGGAGAGCAAGAAGGGATTTTTGGGATGGCTATGTGAGGGGAATGATGGAGGTCGGATTGATCACGATGCAGGAGGATGCGGGAGGCAGGAGTCGGGTGGATAGTAAAGAGGCAAAAGATGTGAGTTGCGCTTGACTCTGATGTCGTCGCGCGGCATTGAGAGAGCGCTCGAGCTTGCTTTTCACGAATGCGATTGACACTCCGCCCCTTTTTCTAATCTGAACATCGGTGCAGTTCGTATCTTAGGACCTCGACCTCCCCCCATTCACCCCTTTGATGCCTCACCCAATGCACCATCATGTGATTCCGAGCTGTCTTGCTACTTTTACACCTGGCTGTCTCGACATTCCGCGCTCTTCACCTGGGCAAGGATATGAAAGCCTTTCAACGATGCATTCGTGATTCTCACCGCCCTAGCTTCGCGCACATCATCGTCACGCGCAACGATGCGTTCAGCCGTTTGGCGGGGGGAGAAAATTGGTGGAGTGGAGCTTGCGAGAAGAGTTTGCTTGCGCACGGTGCTGATGCCGGAGCGAATCAGGTCTGGGGGGGCGCGGGTGATGAGAAGAGGCTTGCATCGGCCCCGAGATGAAAAATGTTCAACTTGGAATCAAAATCCTCCAGATTTCGAGTCAGAGTCGAGTGGAAATACGCAGAGACAGCTTCTCGCGACTTGTTGCTCGACTCATCAGACGCGCGACTCTGTCGACTCAAGACTCACCCTCACACTCACACTCAAAAGTCCAAAAGACTCTCTGACTCAAGACTCACGACTTTGACTCGTGACTCATGACTCAGACTGTATTTCGTGACTCGTGACTCGTAACTCTTGACGTCCGTTGACCGTGGCCCTGTGTGGGAGCGCATAGCAGATCACGTGATCCGTCTTCCACCCCCGCGCACGGGCCTTGGACTATTTCGACGCGCGCGTGCTACGCTAAGGCGGAAAGAGACTCGTGAGTAACGCTCGCCGTGGATATGATATGGGCTTTCAAGTTGACTGCCACTCTGACTCACGGCTGAAGGAAAGCTTGAAGCTTTGCGTCTTACCACACCACACCATCGAGCCAGTTCCCCGGGGCCCCTTTTCCCGTAAACTTGGAAAGGAGGGGGGAACAGTGTGACCCGTCTGTCTACTGATCATGACGGTCAAAATCTAGTTTGGGAGAAAATCAACTCGAAGAAGTACGGCTCACCAGGAATCTGCGCTGTTGGCTTAGGATCAGGTAGGCGAAGCGCCACTGCACTGCCTCGGTCAAGAATGACGAGCACGAACGGTCGGACATTGGACACGAATGCGCTGAGATGGAGAGGCGAGTCTAGACTGGTCGCTCGTCCGTCGCAAGAATCTACATGGACACTTTCAACGAGCAAATCGAGCGGCACAGATGTGACTTCCATGACTAGCGTGGTGCCGAGCGAAGGAGGAATGGGAGGAGGAGGTCAAGAGTTTGTCCAAGTTCCTCCGCATCCAATCCCTACTCCCGCTCCACCACAACCACAATCAGCGAACTCAACAGCTTCGCACATCTCTGTATTTCTCTTCTTGCTCGCCTTTCGTCTGCTCAATGCCCTGCTTGTTCGAACATTTTTTCAACCCGATGAACATTATCAAGCGACCGAAGTGGCTCATCATGCCGTGTTCGGGTATGGATGGAGGACGTGGGAATGGATGAGGGATGAAGCAAGAGGAGGAGAGATACGAGGCTTTCTTCATCCTGCAATCTTTGCTGCTCTCATGTGGATCGTGCGCCTATTGAGGATCGATGCGCCCATCATTCTTGTGAGTTGGCCTCAGGCATCCGTCCAATGCTCAATGCTCGATCGCTGATATGCGTACTTCTTGCACGCGCGCTCAGGCCACCGCACCTCGCCTTCTGCAAGCTGTGTTTGCGGCCTGCTCCGATTTGTCAGTCTACAAGCTCTCTGATCGACTTGTCGGCTCGCAAGCAGGTTGGATGACGCTACACTGTCTCCTCTTCAACACCTGGCTTCTCTACACTTCATGTCGAACCTTTTCAAACACGCTCGAAGCGCAAATGATCTCCATGGCCCTGCTCAACTGGCCTCTGAGCCTTCCTGCAAGCTCGGAAGAGATGTTGCCGAACGCATCGGCCACTGAGCCTATCGATCAGAGTGTGCTAGACACGCTCAACAGATCCATCATCAGCAGTCGCAAGCTATCTCTTGCGCTCTTCTTTGCCGCTCTCAGTATTGCTGTCAGACCTACAGCCATCGTCGTCTGGTCCTTTCTGGGCATTAAGTTGATCTGTGACCAAGTCGCATCTGCAAGAAGATGCAGCACGACGCTCGGAGCTCTGCAATCCGTCTTTTCACTCGCCGTCATTGTAGTCTGCGTGCCGACGATCCTGTGAGTCGAGCGCACGCTTGATCGAGCAAAAACAAACCGGAGAAGCAAAAAGACACTGCATTGCTCATTGACGTATTTCCAAACTGCTCTTTCCG